ACCACTTACTACTTGTACTACTATTCCTACTTTGTGGTTTTTCACTTATCGCGGGGCTTCAGGGTACGGATCCCCGGCGATAAACGAGGAACTACTGTAATGTTCACAGCCAATAATGCAAGTTTTCATGCTGTGCACACAAAAACTGGTCAGTGTTTCTTTTTTAAATGGCTTCATGGGTTGGTCACTTTGTCACAAACCTTTAGTATTCCTTGAGACTGAACCAAAAAATGTGACTTGTTTTTTACTATTGTTGCAGCCCACATTGTTTGTTGCTTTATTAGAATGAAATGTGTTTTGTGTGATAAACATTTACAGTGCTACACTAAAACTGCATCTGTCTCCGTAGGACATGAGGTAAGAACACCGGAGGTTCTGTCAGTGGACCAGGGAAGCCTTCACCCTTCCACCCTCCCCTCCCCTCTATCATCTCTGCACCATGGACACAATGAGCTGAACAATGGTTTTCAGGACTTTAGTGACATTTCTGCGAGTGAAAGAAGAACGACTATCCTGGTTCTTAGTATTACTATAATTATTTATGTCTGAGTTGTCGTATCTTCCTTATTTTGTAAATACCTCTCCCTGTCTGAATTGTTTATTTGTAGGCTTTGGATACAGGGAATGAGACTTATGAAAATTAGAACAAACTTCTTGAATGTGCCAACTTTTTGGTTGAGTGTTCACGAGTGTTGCACTTGTTGTAACGGCAAAACAGCAGAAAATGTGAAGCACAAATGGGTTTGCTGGTCGAGAGGGAAAGTTGAAAAGCCTCAACAAACTGGGAGGACACCTGTGGTCCATACTGGGAGGACACCTATTGTCCAAGTGCTTTCCTGCTGGGACTTCTGCACCCATGCAGTCCGCTATGAATGTCAGCCCTTCCTGTGTTTCTTCTGGTTTCTGGACAGCAGTGTGCCCTCTGACTGACAGACAGGCTTTATGAAAGTTTGATTGTACATTTTGTGTCCCCCTCTTGTCTGTTGCAAAGACTGTTAGCAGCAGTTATGAAATGAACTTTTCATATATTCCAAAAATGAACAAAAAATGTTTGTTGAATGAATTTTGTACTCTTGTTGTTTTGTAAAAGCACAATAAAATAAATGTGTTGATCTATATTTGTAATTTATGGCAGCTTTAGCACAGCATACTAAACCTTTTTACATTTTTTTTTATATGGCCATGTGACATGTGTCAAACCATTTGGTTCCCCTCATGTACAGTGGTGCTCGAATGTTTGTGAAGTCTTTTTAATTTTCTATATTTCTGCATAAATATGACCTAAAACATCAAATTTTCACACAAGTACTAAAAGTAGATAAAGAGAACCCATTTAAACAAATGAGACAAATGTATTGTGCTTGGTCATTTATTTATTGAGGAAAATTATCCAATATTAAATATTTGTGATGGTAAAAGTATGTGAACCTCTAGGATTATCAGTTAATTTGAAGGTGAAATTAGAGTCAGGTGTTTTCAATCAATGCATGATGATCAGGTGTGAGTGGGCACCCTGTTTGATTTAAAGAACAGGATCTATCAAAGTCTGCTCTTCACAACACAACATGTTTGTGGAAGTGGATCATGGCAGGAACAAAGGAGATTTCTGAAGAGCTCAGAAAAAAAGTTGTTGTTGCTCATCAGTGATGGGTCAATGAGGCGTCATGAAGCATTTCAACATATTGCCAAACTGTATCGATACTGTGTCACTGAGTACTGACACCTGATGGAACTTAAAAATCCCTACAGGCAACCTATTTGACAGACTCAACTGACACCTATTTGATGACCTACTATATACAATAATATAATTTAAGTAATTGTATTTTATATTATTTCATATTTTCATTTAAATTTAAAATATCTTTGATATTTTTAGATACAGTCAATAAATAATGTGAACATGTATCATAACGTGAAAATATAAGTGAATGTGTTGAGAATGAGGATGCTTGTGGACTGGGATTTTTTTTTATTAACAATTTTTTATTCTAAAAATTAAGTTTGGCTGGCAGTCCTTCAGGATGAAATTCAGCAGAGCCTCATCCAGCATCTGCTTCCTTGAAGCTTGATGGTTAGAAATGAGATAAAGAATAAATTAATAGGAATTAATTATCAATAAAGCAACTGTGAGTAAGTTGTAGAATGGTTGTATACCTGACTTTACCCTGGATGTATCTGGGACTTCATTCTCACGCCCGGCCCTATAATTCAGTGATCTATTTTTATTTTATTTTATTTATTTATTTAGCCGGTCCAAGCAGATGGCCGCTTGTCCTGAGCCTGGTTCTGCTGGTGGTGTCTTCCTTTTAAAAGGGAGTTTTTCCTTTCAACTGTTGCCACTGTTGCTCAGGATGGGAGACTGCAACGAAGCCAACATTCAACTTGAGAACTTTACTAATTGGCTTTTATGTATGCGAATGTCCCTGTAAAGTGCCCTGAGACAACTTTGTTGTGATTTGGCGCTATATAAATAAACTGAATTGAATTGAATATTTTTTCAAAAGAGCCTGACAGATCAAAGTCAAGGGGAGAGCCGCGATATCACCCCAAGTCACTCAAAGAAAAAAAAAAATGAACAACCCACACAGTCAGCACATTATCTGTTAAAACAAAATGTATCTTAGTACTAAGATGAGCGGAAGCTGTGGTGCATGTCTTTGACTTTCTTCATGTTGTATTTGTAATTTTTTTGTTGCAACCACAGAGAGACATTTAAGATAGGCATGGGTCAGTCGGTTTTTGTTTTTGCTTGATAGTGTTCATGGTTGAAAATGTTGACTCACAGGTGTAAAAATTTCAGCTTTTATTACCCCAAACCCATGAAGAAAACACAAGTCAACAATAACAATGAATACCAAAGTCCATGCTCAATGCATCGGCGCATGCGTCAAGCTCATAGAGCAAAACCCGTGTCGGTGCGCGTATTGCTATTAGAAAGTCACGTGACCGATACAGGAGCTGTTTCAACCTGACACTGACGTGCCAAACTGTGTTTATAAGCGTATCTGTCAACGAGATGCATCTGCCAAAATAATCTTTGGTTTTTTGCCGGTCATCTTTAAATTCATCAAGAATTATGAAGCAGCCTCAAACCAAAAAAAATATTTCTGTCGTGTGGGACCATTTTAATCTCATATCGGAAAATAAGCTCTTGGTGTTGCCGGACCCCTAACTACTCATCCGGCTGGAAAAGGTTACAAAACCATATGTAAAGAGTTTGGACTCCACCAATCCACAGTCAGACAGATTGTATACAAATGGAGGAAATTCAAAACCACCGTCACCCTCCCAGGACTGGTGAACCAACAAATATCACTCCAAAAGCAAGGTGTGGAATAGTGGGGGGTGTCACACCAGATACTGAAAGCAAAGCTTCACATACTTTTACCACTAATATGTAATATTGGATCATTTCCCTCAGTAAGTAAATGAACAAGTACAATATATTTGTCTCATTTGTTTAACTGGGTTCTCTTTATTCACTTTTAGAGCTTGTGTGAAAATCTGATGATGTTTTAGCTCAAATTTATGCAGAAATATAGAAAATTATAAAGAGTTCACAAACTTACAAGCACCACTGTAGTGTAGTGGTAGTCTGGGACATGGACTACTTTTTATTCTAAGTGGCCAAACAGTTTGGAAGATTCTCCTCGATGCCAATCAAAAGTACTTCACCATGGTCTCTCCAAACTCTTTTCATGCCTGTTTTTTCATTCTCAAACACAGAAGTTGCAGTTCTTCTAGACACTGTGTACCTGGCAGTTACTTTAGGGATCATCCAGGATAGCCTAACCCAGGGATATTGAACTAGCGGTGTGCCTTCAATTCAGCCCACCAATGACTTAATTTAAAATAAATTATATAAATATGTGAAAAAAATACATATCTATATATTTTTTTGGTGGTGGGGGGTCTGGGTTCTGCTTATTCCATTTATGATCCAATGCAACAAAATAAACAAATTTAAAAGGTAACATCATTGTAATACTTGGTTTATTTACATACTGACTTTAATTCCTGGATGTCCGGCCCCGGAGCTGCTGGCTTTCAGAAACTGTGGCCCCCTGAGCAGTTTAGTAGAATAGTCTTGGCCTAGCTCTAAAGGCCTCCTTCCTCATCTTCATAGCCTTTTCACCGCTTGTGTCCACCAGTGGGTATTTCAGTTGCTGCTGCAATAAGCACTAATGATTTTTAGGCCACAGCTCCTGCAAGCTGCATCTGTATCAAAGGCACTGAACATGGCCAGTTATGTATCCTGACCTTCCCTGACACATGTGGAAAAACTCTGCCAGGGGTGTGAGTTAAAACTCTCTCAGACAAGGGGCAGTTGAAGTTGGCTTGGGTTTCCTGAGCTATCCCTTATTTCTGCTGCTTTAGGCTTAGACTGGAGGACAGATGAGCCACATATATAGAAAGTACATCTGGACCTGCCAATCTGTGTTTGTATGTTTCTACTTCCTGGCCTCTCAAACCCAGCTGGTTGAAGCAGATGGATCGTCCTGAGCCTGGTTCTGCTGGAGGTTTCTTCCTGTTATGAGGGAGTTTTTCCTTTCCACTGTCTCCTTTGTGCTTGCTCAGGATGAGAGACTGTGACGAAATGAAGGAATCTGCTGCTTTCTTAAGAACTTTTACTAATTGTCGTTTATAATGTGTGTGAATGTTTCTGTTCAGTGCCCTGAGACAACTTCTGTCGTCAGTTGGAACTCCAGAAATAAACTGAACTGAATATAAAGTACTGTGATTTGATTTTATTTGAAATCAAGATTAAAAAAGGTCAATGTTTTGTTTTACATAATTTTAATGTGTTGTTTTGTCACATTTTTGAACATATGGCGATGGAACACAGAATGGAATGGTCATGTGAAATGCTCCACTCGGAACATTTTCACGAGGAAAAGCCAGAACTCAGGTCTCCCCTAAGTGATCAGATCAGCTGGAGATGAGGCAGTGCAGGAACTGCCGAGTGCTGCGGATCAGGCAGGATGGTTTGATGTGACCCACTGCTCTCTGAGCCCCTCTGGTCCATCAGGAATTATCTGAGACTTATGCAGTGCAGCTTGGTTAGTTCCACCAGAACCACGCTCTCCAAACCCCTTCTCACCTCGGGCTCCGGCCTGTCATGGCAGCCGTCTCCATCTGCCTGCATGGACTGAACTCTAAGGAACAGTTCGGTTCTGTGGGAATTTTGGATGTTGTCTGCTGGACCCAGTTCTGAAGGGCAGTCATCGTCTGTTGCCGCAGTCGTTGCCATCATGCTCCTAACAGAATTATGCTGCTAATAGAACCATGCTGCTAACATTACCAGGCTGCTAACAGGACCACGCTACTAACAGGACCACACTGCTAACAGGACCACACTGCTAACAGAACTATGCTGCTAACAGGACCACGCTGCTAACAGAACCATGCTGCTGTGTTTATACTATATAATACTGTATATTTTATTCTAATTACTTTTTGTTTTATAGTTTTCTGTATTTTATGTGGTCTATAACAGGTCTCTTGAAAATGAGTCCTCATCATGACTCAATGAGAGTAACCTGTATAAAGGTAAAAAAAAAAAAAAAAATCATATAAAATGTTTCACTTCTTTAACTTTAGCCTTTTCATGCACACAAACATAAAATAACAAGTGACTGCTGACAAATAGTTTCAGACTCGACTTCAGTGATGGCTTTAATAGGAGGGTGTTGCCTCCATACAGAGAAAAATTTGACCCCCCTCCCACACACACACATACACACGCACAAGAAACTTTTATGCAATTAAACTAAAATTCAAAACACAAAAGACAAATCCTATAACAGACTGTTTCAAATAACAAAAAAAAAACTTCTTCCATTTTCAAAATGTTAAAATTTGTTTAAAGTTAATACAAAATGAAAGTATAAAATGTTTTCTGATACAACAAGTGAAATTATTAGCAAAGAAGACAGCATTAAGTAACATCTATAACATTGGTTACGTACTGTAACCCCAGATTCTATGAGTATAGGCGCAGCCCTTTAAGGCTAGTGGGTTTATCCCTTTGCGCAGTGCAGCACTGAAAACTTTAGTCCGTGTCCACAGGCTGTGTGGGCCCCACCCCCGGTCCGTATAAATTACGGTGAGACCAGGCAATTGGCTCCCAAATAGCTTTTTTTCTTCAGCCATTTAGGAACCAGTGAGGCCCAGAGCTTAAAGGGCTGCGCCTATACTCATAGAATCTGGGGTTACAGTACGCAACCAACGTTCTATTTCGTATAGGCTTCGCCCTTTAAGGCTATCACTAGTGGGTTAAAGGCGAAGCAGGACGTAGTCTGTGCCTCACTGGGTCCATTCAGTATGCCATGTGTAACGGCTGCAGAGCTATCTCCACGCATTTTGAGAATGTGCGTGGGGCGAGGGAATAACTGAACGGTAGCCTGTTGTACTAATACGGGATCCCCTGGAAGGAGAAATGCAGGAATTTCCTGTGTTTCGGAATGATGGGAATGTGAAAATATACGTCCTTCAGATCTATGGAGGTGAACCAGTCATTCTGGTGAATGTTCTCCAGCAGCTATTTGGTTGTCAGCATGTAAAATTGTCTCTCCATGATTGATTTGTTGAACATGGACAGGTCGAGAATGGGTCTCATCTCTCCATTTTTTTTTTGGAACCAGAAAGTAGTGGGAGTAAAACCCTGGGTTTTCGTCTCCAATGGGAACTCTGGAAATTACGTTTTTCATCAGGAGTTCCTGAACTTCTGACTGGCGAGACGAGCTCTGTTCTGGAGATGACAGAACCGTCTTTATAATCCCTCTGAACGGTGGGGGGTGAGCTGCGAACTGCAGTGTGTAGCCCCTGCTGATCAGTCGGTCCATCCATCTGTCCAGGGAACACACTCGCTGCCACTCTGAGTAACGCTCGGGGAGCCGGCAAGCGTTTTTGTGTTGTGTCATGTTTCTCATGAACGTCAACCAGGCTAAAGCCCCTACTGCCATCACCCGCTCCGGAGATTATCTGGGGGGGACCCAAGGGGGGCTCTGACAGAAAGGATTGTATGTGCGCCTCTGTGCTAAGCCCAGGCTGCGGTCTCACGTTAGAGCTGAGGTGAGCCGGCACGCACTGAGAGGAGGCGTGAGCGCTTTTTTGAATGAGACGCCGTTTCGGTGGAGGCTGCAGCTGTCGTTAAGAAACACGTTTACTCCCACTGCGTGGTGAGTGGGCAGAAACAGCAGAAAATAAAACGGGCTCTGGCTGAGAGCGAGGGATTTTACCAGACTCGGTCTGCTGAAAAACATAATTTTTAGCTGGCGTGGCAGACGAGTGTTTTGTGAGATTTATCGAGCTGCTGTGCCTTGTAAAACGCTGTTTAGAGGTTACCGGCTCATTCTGTGTGGAGAGAGGCAGCTGTGAGATCAGTTGATCAGACAGTCAGGCTGGAATCAGATGAAACTTTACTCTCTGAGTGGTGTTTCTGTTTTATTGCAAATCATACACATTCCCCCCAAGGAGTCATTTCTTGGGCTGTCTCCTCCGTGGGCCCTGTGGCTGGTTGGTCCAGGGTGGGGCTTGCTGATGGCCTCTGGGGAAGCGCTGGGTCGCTGGTCGGTGCGCCGGGAAGGACTGTTCTCTGGTGTGTGTGTGTGTGTGTGTGTGGGGAGGGGGAGCGGGGCGTGAAGTTGCTGCCGCAACTGTGGAGAGCCTCTGCTATTGTTGCTGGCTACGGTGATCCCTCCAGCGGCCAAGGGAACGGGAGGAGGGCTGTGACTTCAACAGGTGATGTATCGTCTCCGACACCTCCTCGGTCTTCTGAGACTTCTCCAGCATGGTCCTGAAGTTGGCCCCGAACAGTGCATCCGGAGTGATGGGGCCCTCTAGCAGGTCCCTCTGCAGCCTCTCCGGCATGGATGGTGAAAAGTGGAGCCAGGTGGTCCTCTGGATCATGGTCATCCAGGTGGCGATGCGGGACAGGCAGACTACAGAGGTGGTGCACATGTTCAAGATGATGTCAGCGGCTTTACAGAGAGAGCTCTTTGTCTCCTCCGGCAGGTTTGTGTCCTCCAGCCTTTTTGAAATGCTGTAGGCCAGCAGGACAACGTTGTTGTTCGCCGCGGCCACCTGGAATGAGCACTGTTGAGCTCAGTTGGAGAGCTTTGTCACCATCTAGTCATGCTTCCCTGGAGGGACAGGTCGCTGATCCATCCTGGAAGCTTTTGCCCCAAGCGCCTCCGCCAGGCTTGGCTCCAGGGGTGAACTGAGGGAAAACTCTGTTTGGTAAAACCCTCCACTCTGGTTATGGGGCGAAGATGGAGATGGGCGCCTTCAGCTTGCCGGGCCCAACTGCAGCCTCGTTCCAGTAGGAAGTCACTGCTGGAAAGCGGGACCAGATGGGGTCAGGGCAACGAGCCGGGGCGAAGCCAAACCTTCCCGCCAGATCATCCGATAGGGGGAGAGGGAGGAGAGGGATGGAAAGTCCCTTTGTGTCAGCAGCCTCCTGGATTATGCCGGGCAGCTCCAAGAGGAGGGTGCCGATGGCTGGGAGCGGTGTGGTCACCGACATGGGAAGACCCGGGGTGGCTGAGCATCCGCTCGGCCGCCCTTCTTCCATCACTACGCTCTCCAGGAGGGAGGGGGCAGTGGGGTTGCTGCATGCATCACCTTTCTCGGAGGAATCATCTGATTCACTGCGCGACTCTGCGTTAAAAATGGCGATGGCATCATCCAGCGAGTAGTGCCACGTAAAAACACTCCTCGGCATTAGCCTTGAACAAGGCTGCTCATCTCTGCTTCTCCTCGGGAGGGAGGAGTTCACAGGGACGGCAGGAGGAGGCCAAGTCGGCGTGGTGGGGACCCAGACATCCTTCGCAGATGTCGTGCCGGTTGAAGCTCATAATGTAGCCAGTCTGGCAGGATGGGCACAGGCGGATAGTGCTGGTGCTGGACAACTTCTTCTTCTTCGTTCTGCAGTGCTAGCTGGCTGAAGAAAAAATGGAAGCCGATTGCCCGGTCTCACCGTAATTCATACGGACCGGGGGTGGGGCCCACACAGCCGGTGGGCACGGGCTAAAGCTTTCAGTGCTGCGCTCGAAGGGATAAACCCACTAGCGATAGCATTAAAGGGCAAAGCCTATACGAAATAGAACTTCAGTTATTTAAAGTAAAATGAAGACAGTTTCTTTAAATACATATTACAGTCTTTTTCACACGTTCAGAATTGTGTAAACTTTAAAATGTGTAAAAAAAAAAACATCTGTAATAAAACAACATGAAAATGGTCTGCATGTAGAGGAACACCAAAGAGTGAAATAGACATGGAGCATGTTCAGAATTCATTAAAACATTTTAGTTGTCTGGACAGATTACAGCTGAGCCATATAAAGGCATAATGCTACACTTTGTATGGCAGGACTTCACTTCTAATGAACAAATACATGAAAAGTAACATTTGGTGACATCAGAAAGTATTCAGGACCCCCTCACATTTTCCATTAAGATTTTGTAGATTTGTGTAATTTATACTATCTGTTAGTTTGTAAAATCTTCACTCAGAACTTCATTATGATGTGTGAAAACACATTTAAAGAATTTTATAAAATTTTAAATAGAAAAATATATATATATATCAGATTTCCAAAGTATTTGCATCTTTTACTGTCATGTAGCACATGTGGCAGTAATTCCAGCCTTTAAGGGATGATGGAACAAATTTAGCTAACATTGATTGGAGGATTTAGCAGAGCCTCATTCTGGTTGGATAGGAATCCTTGGTGGAGCCATTTTCAAATATAAGGTGTTTGACTGGGTTCAAGTCAGGACTGGTTTACACCAGGACAGTTATACAGTCACCCTCAGCACCTCCTGTATGTTTTCATGTTGATGAACCTTTGGTCCAACCTCAGCTCCAAAGCTCTTCAGTTTTCATTAAAATCATCTCTGTAATTCAACCATAGGTTTCCCAGTCCCTGTTGCTGAAAAACACCCCCAGTTTGATGCTGCCACCACGCTTCACTGTGGGGTGGTGTTGTGCAGGTGCCCGGTTCCTCCTGACGTTCTGTAACATTTAGAACTGAGTCCAAACAATTCATTCTTAGTTTCACCTGGCCAGAGAATGTAGTTTCTCACAATCTGATGGTCTCAAACATCCTTCACAAGATTTATTCTGGGCAGTGGCTTCTGTTTAGTCACTGTCAGAAACAGAGACAGAGACAAACAACTATCCACTCTCTCACTCACACCTTGGGACAATTTAGAGTCACCAATCAGCCTAGGATGCATGTTTTTGGTCTGTGGGAGGAAACTGGAGTACCCGGAGAAAACCCACGCATGCATTAGAGGACATGCAAACTCTTCCCAGAGGGGCCCCCGGACTGGGATTTGAACCAGAATAACCTGCTCACTGAGAGGAGACAACTCTACCAGTTGCACCACCATGCTGCCCATCAAAACCATGTCCATCAATTTATTTGACCAGAGTTAGACTTAAATTAAGGTGAGGGATGATCTCAGAAGGAACCCAAAACTAACATTCAGATGTAGCAATATTTTTGGAATACATATGGAAATATTAAATGTATTTATTTATTTATTTATTATTAAATGTACAAATTGTATGAAATCTTTTTTTTACTTTGTAAACTGAGTGGAAATTATTGAGAAAAAAATATATTCAAATGCCTGTAGAATCAAAGCTGCAACATAACATGACAAGACATATTCATGTTTCTGAATATGTTCTGAAACTCCTCTGTGGTTGGTTTCATCCAATGACTGCTGTCTCCCATCCGCCCTGTTCAGAGCCCACCAGGTGAGAACAGCCTATGAAAACTAACTCATTATGCATATTTTCAGTGAAAGGAAAGCAAATGCTGCAGAAGATGAAGAAAAAAATGACCTCAGCAGAAAGTCATTTTAAAGATGCTCAGCAGTAGCTAGACTACAAGGAGGTAAAAAGAAAACTGCTCCAAACAGCATGACATGCATCTCAAAGGTGTGTCACGTAAATGCCTCTAATTACTTTTCAGAAGAAGGAGTAGAAACATGTTGAACTCAGGATTATTTACATCTCCACACAGTTTTCAAGGTGACCAGAAAAGTTTTGCAGTCAAACACTACAAGACCTTTGTTTCAATAAAACTTTTAGGTCTAAAAAAAGTTAAATCTGGTCCTCTGGACATTCAAAAAAACAAAACAAAGCAAATCAACAAAAAAATGTAGAAACGTTTCGTCTCTCATCCGAGAGACTTCCTCAGTCTGAGGAGCGGTATTCAGCTCAGTCTCTTAAATAGCACCGTCTCAGAGTGGATCAACCAGTTTTGCTGCTGACAACCAAAACCAGCTGATCACATGCTCAAGAAGGACCATCAGCCTAACAATGGATCATTAGCACACTGATGGCTGTTTACTGTTCACAGAGGGCTGAGTGATACTAGCAATCACAGCATTGTAAGAGGGGGACAGTTGAACCCGGAGGCCTCCACCCCTGTTTAATGATGGACGGTTTCTTTTCACAAAGATGGCCTCCTTTACTCCTCTCTCAAACCATCGTTCCTCTCTGTCCAGGATGTGAACATCTTCATCCCTGAAAGAATGACCGCTGGCCTGGAGATGAGTGTAGACCGCAGAGTCCTGGCCTGATGATGTTGATCTTCTGTGCTGGGCCATCCTTTTGGCCAGTGGCTGTTTTGTTTCCCCGATGTAAGACTGACCACAGCCCTCCTGACAGTGAACAGCATACACAACATTGCTCTGTTTGTGCCGGGGGACTGGATCTTTGGGATGAACCAGTCTTTGCCGTAATGTATTTTGGGGTTTAAAAGCCACTGGGACGTTATGTTTAGAAAATAAACGTCTCAGTTTCTCTGATACCCCCTCAACATATGGAATAACCACTGGTCTGGGTCTGGGTTCCTCCTTTTCACCTGTTGGCTGACTGGAGTCCTGTTTGGGTTTCTTCTCTGCTTTCAGGAAGGCCCAGTTAGGTTATCCACATTGCTCTAGAGCCTGTCTTGTGTGGGATTTCTCCTTCTGCCTGGCTCCTGAGCTAGTGGGGACGCTGTCTGCTCTGTGATACAGAGTCCTGATGACTCCTAACTTGTGCTCCAAAGGGTGATGGGAGTCAAACTGCAAATACTGGTCTGTGTGGGTGGGTTTGCGGTACACCTCAGTTTGCAAATGTCCTCTATCAGAGACTGAGACCTCACAGTCCAAGAAAGCCAACCTGCCATTTTTTACATCTTCTCGTGTGAACTTGATGTATTTATCCACAGAGTTGATGTGGTCAGTAAAATGTTGGACTTCCTGAGATTTGATTTTAACCCAGGTGTCGTCAACATACCTGAACCAATGACTTGGTGGTGTCCCTGAAAAGGACGTCAAGGCTCTCTTTTCTACCTCCTCCATGTACAGGTTGGCAACAATAGGAGAAACTGGAGACCCCATAGCACACCCATGTTTCTGCCTATAATATCGCTCCCCATATGTGAACTAGGTTGACTGCAGGCACAGTTTCAAGAGTTGACACAGTTGTTCTGTGGAAAGTGTGGTCCTGCTGCTCAGAGTGGTGTCTGATTTTAATTTTAAACTGACCACCTCTACTGCATCATCAACAGGAATGCATGTAAAGAGTGATGTGACATCAAAAGAGACCATTGTTTCATCAGTCTCCATGATGACATCCCTCACCTTGTCCACAAAGTCCATGGTGTTCTGTATGTGGTGTTCTGAGCTGCCAACTAAAGGGATGAGTACAGACGCCAGATATTTGGAAACATTGTAAGTGACAGAGTTAATCATACTAACAATTAGTCTTAAAGGTACACCTTGTTTGTGGATTTTAGGTAAACCATACAGACTAGGTGTGGCCTCCCCTGGGTACAGTCTGTGGTACAGAAAACGGTCAATAGCCTTGTCCTGCTCCAAAATTTTCAGGCAATCTATTAACTTTTTCTTGTAACCACTTCCTGGATCTCTTTTCAGAGGTTCATAAGTGTTTAAGTCACTAAGGAGTGATGATAGTGATAGTGATGATCATGATAGTCTTTCTGGTCTTTGCTTTGTTTTGTTTTTTTGAATGTCCAGAGGACCAGATTTAACATTTTTAGATTTTTCTACCTGGATTATTGAGCATGCATCAGGAAAACTTTTAGGTGTTTCTGCTGGGATACAGGGCTCTGTACTGGGCATCCATTTCCTCCATCCAGGCCATGCTCCAGTCCCATGTAGGAACATGTTCCAGCTCTTCGAATACCTCACTATCTGCGCAGAATGATGGGTACAAGGTGCTGAAGGGGGATGCAGGTGGGGAGAAGTCTGAAAACAAAACAAGATGATGTTTTCATTAGTGTTAAAGTACAAAATCACCCACAGCTTTCACGACAATCAAAGAAAGATTCTCAGAGTGGAATTATCAGACAGACAATGCATAAAAGGCCATGATCATGTAACTGACAACATTTTAACAAAAAAGTTCTTGAAAGTAACAGAAAGTTCTGATGTCAGGTCTCGAAGGCAGCACCTTGAGCAGGGAGGTCCAGACATCTCTTTCCACAGCCACCTCTTCCAGCTCTTCTAGAAGGACTCCAAGGTATTTCCAGGCCAACTGAGAGACATAGTCTCTCCAGTGTGTCCTGGGTCTTCCCTGGGGTCTCCTCCCAGTCAGACATGGACGAAACACACCCCTAGGGAGGTACCATGGGAACATCCTTACCAGATGCCTGAACCACCTCAACTGGCTCCTCTCAATGTGGAGGAGCAGCAGTTCTACTCTGAGTATCTCCTGATAACTGAACTTCTCACCCTATCTCTAAGGGAGTCCAGCTACCCTGCAGAGGAAACTCATTTCAACTGTCTGTATTCATGATCTGATTCTTTCAGTCACTAAGCAGAGCTAATGACCATAGGTGAGGGTAGGAATGTAGCTCAACTGGTAAACAGAGAGCTTTACCTTATAGCTCAGCTCCTTCTTCACCACGACAGACCAGCACAAAGTCTGCAATACTGCAGACACTGCACCAATCCGCCTGTCAATCTCATGCTCCATTCTTCTCTCACTTGTGAACAAAACCCCGAGATACTTGAACTCCTCCACTTGAGGCAGAACCTCACCCTCGACCTCAAGAGAGCAATCCACCCTTTTATGACTGAGTACCATGGCCTCAGATTTGGAGGTGCTGATTCTCATCCCAGCCACTTCACACTCGGCTGCAAACCGCTCCAGTGAGAGATGAAGATCACAACACAATGACACCAACAGGACCACATCATCTGCAAAGAGCAGAGATGTAAGCCTGAGGCCACAGAACTGGAATCCCTCTGCCCCCTAGCTGCACCAAGAAATTCTGTCCATAAAAGTTATGAACAGAATCTGTGACAATATGTAGCCCTGGCGGAGTCCAACTCCCACCCTGAACGGGTCCGACTTACTACCGGCAACGCGAACCAAGCTCTTGCACCACTTGTATAGGGACCGAACAGCCTGTAACAACGGGCCCCCAATCCCATTCTCATGGAGCACCCACACACACACACAGTGCACCCCGAGGAACACGATCGAATGCCTTCTCCAAATCCACAACATATATGTAGACTGGTTGGGCAAACTCTCGTGAATTTTCGAGGATCCTAGTCAAGGTAAAGAGCTTGTCCAGTGTTCCATGGCCAGGATAGAACCTGCATTGTTCCTCCTGAATCTGAGGTTCAACCAACGATCTGACTCACTTCTCCAGTACACCTGAATAGACCTTACCAGGGAGGCTAAAGAGAGGACCTGGGGCCCCTGTAATTGGAGCACACCCTCCGGTCCCCGTTTGAAGAGGGGAACCACCACCCCAGTCTGTCAATCCATTGTCATTGTCCCTAATGAACATGTGATGTTGCAAAGGTGTGCCAATCAAGACAGCCCCACAAAATCCAGAGACTTAAGGAAATCAGGGTGAATATAATCTATCCCTGAAGCTCAGCCACCGCAGAACTTTTTAAATACCTCGGCAACCTTAGCCACAGTTATGGACAGATAAATCCTGAAGTCCCCAGACTCAGTTTACTCCATGGAAGATGTTCTGGTGAGATTGAGAAGGTCCGAGAACTATTCCTTCCACCTTCCGATTACATCACTGGTTGAGGTCAACAGCACCCCACCTTCACGGAACACAGTGTTAGTAAAGTGCTGCTTTCACCTCCTGAGTTGCCTAATGGTTTGCCAGAATCTCCTCGGAACCAACCGAGAGTCGTCATCCAAGGCCTCACCGAACTCCTCCCACATCCAAGCTTTTGCCTCAGCAACAGCCAAGGCTGTAGAATGCTTGGCCCTCTGGTACTCCTCAGTTGCCTCTGGAGTTCCACCAGCCAACAAGGCTTGATAGGACTCCTTTTTCAGGTTGACAACCTCCCTTGTGAGAGTCTTGGTCATCCTCAACACCACTCTCTCCTTCACTTCACACATCAACAACGTCACTCAGTCTGCCTATTTCCATCTCCGAAATATTAACCGTCTCCACCCTTCTCTCACACCCCGCTCCACAGCCATCCTTGTTCACAGTCTTGTGACTTCTCGGATTGACTACTGCAACTCCCTTCTTTATGGCCTCCCCAACAAATCTCTCCAGAAGCTGCAATTGGTCCAGAACTCAGCTGCCCGTGTCATAACTCAAACCTCCTCCTATAACCACATCACTCCAGTCCTGCAGCAGCTCCACTGGCTCCCGGTTAAATCACGCATCGTCTTCAAAATTCTTCTTCTCACTTTCAAAGCTATCCACAACCTTGCCCCTCCGTACCTATCTGACCTCTTACACATCTCCATCCCCTCTCGCTTTCTCAGATCCTCCTCTTCACTACACCTCCATGTACCCTCTGCCCGCCTCTCCACCATGGGGAGCAGGGCCTTCACCTGCTCTGCCCCTCATCTCTGGAACTCTCTACCCCCTGACTTACGAAACACCACCTCTCTTTCTCTATTCAAGACTGCTCTGAAAACACATCTCTTTAGACTCGCTTATCCTTAACTTTGCTGTATGTATTTTATATTTTTTATGCATTTTATATTCTGTATGTATTTTATATTATTTATGTAATTTGTTCCTGTTGATCTTTGTTCTTACTGTAAAGTGTCCTTGGGTGTCATGAAAGGCGCTGTTTAAAGAAAAATATTATTATTATTATTATTATATGTTCGTCTGTCTCTCCTTCCTGTCCTCTTCACATACATAAAAGCCAATTAGTAAAGTTCTCTATCTAAGGAATCCAGCAGACAAGTTAAATCTTGGCTTTGTTGCAGTCTCCCATCCTGAGCAAGCACAGTGGCAACAGTGGAAAGGAAAAACTCCCTTTTAAAAGGAAGAAAACTCCAGCAGAACCAGGCTCAGGACAAGCGGCCATCTGCTTTGAGAATGTTTCTGTAAAGTGCCCTGAGACAACTTTGTTGTGATTTGGCACTATATAAATAAACTGAATTGAATTAAATGTGGATGCAGACTTTTTGCTCAGTGTAGTGAACTAGGCCTCCGACATCAATCTGTCTCTGAAGACCTTCAGGGGACAGGAACTGTTATTTCATTGATTTGAATCCAGAAATACAAATTATCTCATCAAGAGACTATTTAATTGTACCTTGAATTAATCAATTGAAAGAACACTCTTCTTTTTACATTATCTGTACTATTTTAAGATATCTTGATAATCAAAAGTGTGTTTAGTTCATACCATTTCTAAATGTTGAAGTGAACCACTCATTTAAATCAACTGTGAAACAGTATTAATGATTTTTAAACCTCATTAGACTTTGATCATACAGTTAAATGCCTATTTACGAAGTAAGTGTGCATTTAGTCTTCTGTCTGAATGAGGGTAGTGGACCTGATGTCGGTCGAAAGTCAGAGACAAGTTATGAGGAGGAAGTATCTTGTTTTAAAACTCTCGGACAGTAAATAAGAGCTGCTGGCACCTGCTTTGTCTCACCTCTTCAAAACATTTCTCCGTCTGTACTAACCGTTCTTAAAACATTCCTGCTGTTTCCTGACTCCTAGTGACCCTCTGACATCACTAAAACCACACCCCTGCTGGTTGTTTCAACCAATCAGGAAGTACCACGTAACAGGAAGTGGATACCCCTTTAAAAGGCAACACTTCTTGGAACTATTCAGTCAGTCTTCTTCAAAGTCTTCACGAGTCTTAGTCTTACAGTCGAAGATGAGACTCAACTAAGTAGCGGATGGATTTGACCATGTGCCAAGGGTCTCTCCAGTCCAGCGTAGTCACAGCCTGCCTCGGCTGTGACTCAACCCGAGCATTAAAAGCTCAACTCCCAAGGAAGCTTATTCGGTTGAACCGAGTACTTCGTCACAATTTCTGATGACCCCCAGCTACTCTAACCGGGGACGATGAAAAGGGAGTGTACCAATGGACTTCTGTTCCGGAGTGGATACATCCTCTGCTAAGGTAACAAAGTCGCTGCACGTCCTGAAGTGTACCGGAGGGCTGAGCTGGATGTCAGAGGAAGGGTGCCATGTTCTGGTTCAACACATAACTCCACATCTAAACTTCCTCCTTAAATCTATTCCTCCTCTCTTAAACTTCTCTATTCACCAGTAAATCAAGCTAGATGCCTTCAGAGATGAATCAGTCTCAATTAGTAATGTTCTGTTGTCTTGTTAGTAAAGCGTGCCAAGTTTATTAATCAGAAACAGATCAGCAAATCAATGTGTACATGTTTTGATGTTAAATTTTGATTCTGTTAAATAAATGACAGCATTTATTCTGATGGGACAAAGATAAAATGGCGTCTCATGTCACTGATTAAACACTCCACTCACAATATCCTGATGCATGCTCAATAATCCAGGTAGAAAAATCTAAAAAAGTTAAATCTGGTCCTCTGGACATTCAAAAAAAACAAAACAAAGCAAAACAACAAAAAAATGTAGAAACGTTTCGTCTCTCATCCGAGAGACTTCCTCAGTCTGAGGTGCTGTATTCAGCTCAGTCTCTTAAATAGCACCTTCTCAGAGTGGATCAACCAGTTCTGCTGCCAACAACTAAAACCAGCTGATCACATGCTCAAGAAGGACCATCAGCCTAACAATGGATCATTAGCACACTGATGGCTGTTTACCATTCAAAGAGGGCTGAGTGATACTAGCAATCACAGCATTGTAAGAGGGGGACAATTGAACACGTAGGCCTCCACCCCTGTTTAACGATAGACGATTTCTTTTCACAAAGATGGCCTCCTTTACTCCTCTCTCAAACCATCGTTCCTCTCTTTCCAGGATGTGCACATCTTCATCCCTCGGGGAAACAAAATAGCCACTGGC